CTCATTAAATCCTGTTCATGTGAAGTTCAAATGAACCCCTTAGCTAGAGATGGGTTACGCATGAACTAAGCGTGTTCAGGTATTAAAAGAAAAAGAATGTCAACATTGGCAGTGAAACAAGGGTAAACCATTTGGTTGACTGATTCGATCTTCAAAAACTCATTCTTATACAGGTAAAGACGATTATTAACATATTGATTTAACCTATAATATCAAATCAAACAGACCTACAAAAATCCAATTGCACGAATTTGCTATCTATTTATATCTTTGTTTATGTTTATATCGGGTAAGATGACCGTCGGCAGTCTTCAGAAGGTCGCCTCGATAGCTAATAAGATGACGTCTAGACTAAAATACACACGAAATGCTGATACATACTATCGAGTCTATGCATCGTAAATTGTTTATTTTATATTTTTTTAATTTGGATATACGTTTTAGTATGTTGTAAGTTGAATATGAGAATTTGATTCAAATCGGTTAACATGAATTTGACAGCTAACGCCCCTTTAAGTTTTAAACTGAAATTCTTTTTGAAGTTTTTCACAATTGTCAATTTATTTTTAATTAGCTTTTATCTTGTAATCTTAACTGTCTTGCTCGTGGTTAAAGTGTTCCGGTATTCCACATACAACTATCATTCTTATCTCGAAAAAAGTTCGAGTGTACTTTGTTATTATTTTTATTATCATTCAACCAGATACCGAATGACGTGTATGGATCCATTTTAGAACTAATAGAAATCCATGAATATCTGTTTTTTATTTGGTGTGACTGTAACGATATAAGTGTATGTAAGCTGCGTCTATCCAAGTGATGTATTATCTATAACTATAATTAGTATACAAGATCAATTATTTTCGTCTATATATAAAAAGGAGATGTGGTTATGATAGCCAATGAGACAACTCTCCACACTGTTTGTTTTCTTCAAAGTGAAATGAAATGTGAATTTTTCATGGATATGTTATATTAACCTATAAAAATGTGTTTAAGAGTTTTCAATGTGACAGCTACCTAACAATGATAAAATTAATATTCTAATCAACTACAAACTGCTCACTGTCACTTTCGTCCATGGCATGTGGGATAAAAGCTGCATCTTCAAGAGAAGCGCCTCAATTCTGGACTCCATGTGTGATGTCCAGATTATGTCTTGTATACCCTAGATACCAGAGACTAGAGCCAACGTGCGCAAATTAACATGTTCTCGTCCGGAATATGCATCTAACTTGCCGCTGCACGTTAAACAGTAATCCATCATCATGAGACAAACAACTCATGTAGTAAAATGGTGTGTTTCTTTGATATTCAATATTCTTTTTTTTGTTCTTTTTTCACAAAAAGTGAAATAATAGACGGGTAAATATCTTCTCAAGAGATTTTAAAATCTTTAATCATTTATTTAATCATGTTTAAAGTCATTCTTGTACTGTAACTTTAGAGGAGATATGATTGATAGTTGTTTGACGAACGTCCAGTGGCAAATACTTCATGCATATTTATGACGGAGATTAATTTAGGGAATCTATTTCAAACAGGAAACAAGAAATTGCTTTTGTTGTCATTGAACATAAGAGAAAATTCTCCAAAAGGGGAGAGTCAATAAAGAATCATAAGACCAATAAAATCATACAACATTATGAACATATAGAGGCGACAAAAAAAAAACAGCAATAAAAAAATATAAACTGTTAACACAGAGATATGTCTTGCCTATTTTGTAATTTTGATAATGCAAATGTTGAAATTAAAGTAGCAATACCTTAACATGTAAGTTATGCAAATATTCAAAGTCAATGAACCATGAATGAAGGTACATGGCTAAACAATCTCCATGGAAATGAGATGTGCCAATGCTAATACAACTGCATACCAAACACCATTGACTTATCATAAGGTGTTCCCTTTAAACAAACCTAAACACAAACATTAACTTGTAAACTATGTAAAAGTGTCAAAGTCAATGAACTATGATGAGGGGTTGGGGCTATATAATCATGGAAATGAGACTGGCAATTGCCAATAAACTTGCATACCAAATATCATTGACTTATTATTACATTAGCTGGTTCATCTTAAACTGATCTAATCACAAACTAAATACATGTAAACTAAGCAAAAGTTTCAAAGTCAATAGACCATGACTGAGGGGGCAGGGCCAAATATTCTCCATGGAAATGAGATGTGCTCATGCTTTATATACAACTGCAAACCAATTAATATTGGCCTACCACTAATGGTTCCCCTTGAACTGACCTAATCACAAACTAATGCATATAAACTAAGCAAAAGTTTCAAAGTCAATAGACCATGACTAAGAAGACAGGGCCAAATAATCTCCATAAGAATGAAATGTGCCAATGGTAATACAACTGCATACCAAATATAATTGACCTACCACTAGTGGTTCACCATAAACTAGACCTAATTACAAACTAATACATTGTTGACGCCGCCGACGCCAGAAACAGCATCATACCTCTGTCTCGCTTTTTTGACTCCGTCAAGGCGAGACAATAAAACAGGTTACTACAGATTGAACACGAAACTCGGACCACCACAAGAAACGAAAAAATCAGAAATATAAAGATATCTAATAGATAATTTATTCATAGTGAGTAGCCATTTTTGTTGGTCGCTTGTTACATAACCTCACTCAAATTTAAAAGAGACCACCAAAAAGGGACCAAATAAACAATTGCTCCTTGTATGCATTCTGACCAATTATGCACGCTATCCCGCGTGAATATTAGATATTTATTTGAAGTTACCCAAGTTATATGATTGTGTCGGATAGTTTTGTTTCATCTATATTTCAGTTTTCATTGAAAACAAATATTTGTTCTGGTTGAATGTCACGGACAGTATACACCATGCCCTCTCATAACGACGTAATTTGTATTTTAATTCAAGAAATACTGAAAAGCTTATTTATTCACTGTGCAATATGATATTAACTTGGCATGCCATGATTCATGATAGAAAATGCGGACGTGAAAGAAAGCACTTCATCAAAGCGTCAACATGAGATTACATTCCGCGGAGGTTACATTTCGACGATTTCGTCTTTAAAAAACAAAATATACGTGTATCTAAAAATAAATTTGTATTGAATTTTTATGTTGACACCCTGGACCCATGTCGATCTGCTGGATGTAGAATTTTACGGAAAAAAACTACGGCTCTAATTTAAAACTGTCATATTTTTGTTTGCATAGCACAGACGGGGCTAATTATTACAAAATAACGTGTAAATGAACTTTAAAATAATTTGCAAATTCAAAATTTTTGATTTCCACCAATTTGTCTTGTTTTCTAATAAAAACAGTTAAGAGAACGTATCTATCATTGTTTTAAAACAACGCCGGATCGGAGGTTACCGAAGCTTCGCTAAAAACAAAGACTTGTTATTCCATTTTCTTCTTTTTTGTTTGTTATAAATAAGAAAATAATGAATTATAGAATTTATTCTACTTATAGCAATTTACAAGTTCTTGGTACAGTTATTTCGTCACAGAATCTATCGTACCTCGGAAATGCTGGCGTTGAATCAGGATTTGCTTGTTAGCAAAAGTTAAATTTTCGATGTGGCCACAGTCCTCGACCACGCTAAATATTGTTGCAAACTGAGTCAAAGTGTCAAACAATCAAAATGAGAGTAAAATTACTTTGGTCAGAGGAAGTGTGAAATTCTTTAAGAATTTGGACATTTTGAGCGTTCTGGTTTGAATCCGGTTATTACGTCACATTAATGACGTCACAAAAATATGATTTTATACTATAATAACAAATAACGATATACGTAGATATGTTTTAGCTATAAAGGATCCACCTTATATTTCTTTTATTTTTTGTCACCTCACATGGCCAATATCGGCACTTCGTGGCCATACTCTTTAAAATATAATGATTTTGTTGTTAGGAGTACAGAAACATGTTTACAACATTATTTTGTTATTCAGAGTATAAAAGGGAAATTTTTTTTCTTCATACTAAATACTAATCAAAGGTGGTACATATTAAAAATAGTAAGACGAGATATAACACAAAATAAGTAAACATCATGAACATTGAATAACAGAAATGCATTACAAATTGTGTCAACAGGTCAAATTAACACGAAAGTACGATTTGAGAGTATTCGCATTACTGAAAGCTAGTTAAAAGCCAAAAACAATTAATAATAACGAATCATGCATTAAAGACTAAAATCAATTAAAACACATCCCAGGCAGGGATTTGGTGTTTTAACGCCATGGACAGTCAAAGAAGACATGCTTTGTGCATTGCCAAAATAAAAGTAACGACAGGCAGTAGGATAGTTAGGATTTAACCTTATAATAATATGTATGATGTTATGTATAGATAAAACAATTTCTAAATAGAAAATAGACGTGGATGTGTATATATATATATACATCCCAAAAAAAAACCTTCGAAAAGAATACAAATCTAGTTATGTTTTAATTTGTTGATGACATGTATGTTAAATAGTTGAATATACATAACTTACAGCATGGAGCCAAAAGAAATATTACCCATTTTTGATAAGAAGCAAATTTCAATAAAGTAACTGATTTTGGTAGAGGCAAATCATTTATAATAATTTTATTCAAAAGTTATTTCACATATTCCTTTCTTTTTAGAATACGATTGAACACAATGTATATAAAACGATAATAATATTTTAAGACAACAACACCCATCAATTACCGCATGGTAAGAGTTTATTCTGGTCGACATGTTTCGCCATCAAGCGTGGCGTCTTCAAGACGCTTGATTGCGAAACATGTCGTCTAGAATAAACTCTTACCATGCGGTAATTGATGGGTGTTGTTGTCTTTATTATCGTTTTATTTACTTATCTAGTGAGAGACAACTGTGAATACCTTTCGGCATCCCCCCACTATTACCCAACCACACGATTACCACTTCAGGTGTTGGTTTATCATATATAAATACAATGTATACAAGTGTCACATAAAAATACTTACTCCTAATGCAGCTCTGCACAGTGGCTCTGGAAACACCTTTTCAAATTGTATGTTGAAGCGTACATTAAATCCTCTTATTTCTGGCACTACTGGTAGTTTTTCGGTTGGAAGAACTGAAAATTTATCAAAGATCAGCAAACAGTAAAGTCATCTAATTTTTAAACATATGATAAAAGCTATTGTGCATCTCAATTTACAAGAAATGAAAAATACAGTTTATATTGTAATGATTGCCACTTGGTCCTCTGGACATCCACTAATCGGTTTATTGACTGAGTCATAATTCATAAACACCTCTGCTAATTTAGGTTTACAATGCTCGTTGGTCATGTTGGTTCTGAAACAAATTTAATTGATATGAGGTCGCGAGGTCAAGGATCAAATTCATAGCAGTAATTAAAAGATAGATTTGTGAATCTTTTTGTGTGACAAGACTATATCTGGTTAAAAATATGGCAAACCTTTGCCGAACAAAGCTCGAAAATGCTACTTGAATAAAACAAAACGCCTTTGGTTTAATCACTTGGTCAACCATTAAGGACACTATGCCAATTTTGATAAAAAATGAATCTAGACATTATATTTGTTTATATTCCAGATGAATTTCTGTAAAAGTAACAAGTCACACTAATCAAAGTCCTCTTCATTAGACCATATCCTTGTTAAAGATAAGGTTGTAAAATGATAAAAGGGAGGGCAAGTTTGCGATAGCAAAGATGCAATTATCTATTTTCTGTTATGCCATTATGTGCCAATACATTTATGCTTACCATTGATAATATTAAAGATATAAAACCAAAGAGTAATTTAAAGTACCCAGCAACTTAAAAGAGACTTTATTATTCTTGAATTCATGTTGTATCAAAATCAGTGTAATTCTTACAAGCACTATGCCAAACATAAAAGACAAAATTAAAATAAAATTTTCAAAACTGGAATAACGTCTTGTAACCAAGTAAAGAATTCAAAAGGATGTGCATTTCAAAATCGATACTATGTGTGTGTATATATAAAATTTGATATGCATATCATTATAAGTAAAAATCTGGTATGTTTTGGTTTATTTAGGTTAAACTCTAAATAAAAGTATGCGTACCTCCTACTAAGGATACGGATACTTAATCAGAAGTTCACCTCTGTGTTAATTAAAACAGTTTTTTTTCAAGGTCAATGGTGCGTTAATAATTAGTAACCTTTTAAATCTGTACCCGCTAATGTCTGAAAATTCAAAGGTTATAGTAGCTTTAATTCCACAATCAGTGTGTTTGTTGTATGTGACAACCAAACGTATACAAGCTATCACAAGTCATCATTGATATTTGTTAAGGTTGAATTGAGGTCCATACAGATTGCACATTTATCTATGCTTAACAAATTCGTATGCAACTTTGACGTAAAAGGTACATATTATATAGATATACATGTATAATGCGCAAATATACATAGTGATATGTATGCCATACTATATATTTCCCTTAATATACATGTGCACTAAATGATAGCACCAAACAGAAAGAATACACTATTAATGAACAGATATATCATGTTATGGAGGGGTATTTGCAAAAAATACCAGTCAAGGGACTGTGAAATTTCCCAAGACTGGTATTTTTCGCAAATACCCCTCCATAACATGATATATCTGTTTAATTACACCGAATAGATTTTAATTGAAAATCTCTGTACAGGTGAAGGGAATTTTTTTTATACTAGTAACTGTATTCCATAAACATGTTTATGCAAAATTTTGAGGATAAGTAGAGTAGAGACTATCATAGTACAGCGGGAATTATACATGTACTTATACGCGTTAGCACTGTCTTTATGTAACTTCATGGTATCTATGTGTAAACGTCATTGTCATTCCATCTCATTAACCCTCTTGCTCAGTTGGAAAGCAAGTAATTTTTGACCCCAAGTCTATCAGCAACAATAGAGTCACGTGACCGTGAAAATTTAGTAAACTACGGATGAGACAAACCTCATTTTTACTCACTAAAATACCACTGTCATGATAAAAACTTATTGATCAAAATAATCTTGAATATAAATAGTTTTAACGCGTCAAAACTTTCACATCAACTCAAAGTCCTTCATTCTTTTTTTTATCTTCAAACTTGAAGTTTGTGTGCAAATTGTCTGGTCTCCTGATCGAAAAATCAAAATATTTCGAGGAAACTAAAAATGATGGGCTGAATTTAAATTTGATAAAGCATCTCATTAAAACAAACACTCGATATGAATATCTAGGCAATAGATCTTTGGATACGCAAACGTCAAGTTATTTTCAACACGAAGCGGTGGTATTTTTGCCGATTTGTGCAAGTGGTTATCTCCCCTTGATATCACCAGTCAAAAATAAAAACCCAGCAAAATGAATAAAAATGAGTTTATTTTACAAAAAGCAAGAAGAAAATAAATGAAATTCGATTTACAACTATGTTATTATAATATTAAGAAGAGATACTGCTCTATTTTTCAGAGAAGGATTAGAAGTAAAAATTAAAAGACAAAAAATTGGAAAAAAATAAGAAATGTCACCTAGAAACCTAGCTGAATTGATATAAATTAGCTCTGGCTGATGAAAATTACTTTGTATTTCTGTAAAATTCTGTAAAAAATGATACTTATAATTATAAGTGACATACTTTTGAATTTTAAAATCATCTTTACTGTAAAATTCAATTATTAAATTAGCTAGCACAGCTAGTAGACCTTGCCAAATTTCTCAGGGTATTTCATAGTATAGATTATGAAAATAAACTTTTTTTGAAAAAAAAAAAAAAAAATGGGGCTTCTATTCTTCAGGTTGCTGTATCAGCTGATATACATATTTATAAACAAAGTATTGTATATTTTACCTTAATGATTGGATATTTATATCAGAAATGAAAGTTGGTGGGACAAATCTTGTGCTTTTTACTCAATGATTAATGGATTATTAAATTTATCAAGAATTTGCCATTTGAATAAATTCAATTTTGTGAGAAAACATCTCTATGAATTTTTCTTCTTTGACTTGATAAGCTAGTTTTTGCACTTATTACTGTAGCGTATTTAGTAAAGAGATAATCAAATAAGCAAGGTTTTTAAGTTATAGATATAATTAACTGACCTTCATTTCCTTTTTCATAAGTTTTTTCCTCCAGAAATTTTCTTTACGTGGCATTTTCCATTGCTATTTTTTGTGCTTTTGTCCATCCATAGGCCATCATTAATTTGTCAGATTTGTATCCAGTATGAATGAATGAAATTTTCTAAGACGTACAGTTTTAAACGCAATAAAAATGATCTTTGTTTCACTTTTCCAATGTGTAAATTTTCACTATGCACATGACCCTGACACATATTTTGTTAACGTTATGTAGTATTCGTAGGGTTAGTTTTAGGTCATCAGACAGACCATCTAGAGATGTCCGAAGAACTACCCAGAAATCTCTCTCTTCCGGTTGAAATAATGGCTATTACAGACGACTATTCACACTAGAAGAGCAATCGGCCGTTCCTGACTGCAGGAACGACCATCCAAGGTATATATCGGTCTTTAGATATACTCGGGATCACAACAATGGCGCTGCGAGCAATTAGCGGGCAGTGTCAGAGCTTTTAGGTTTTTTTTTAAGGTTTTTGCCGTGCCGGTTGTGGACGGCAAAAATAGTAAGGCAGGAGGGGAAAAGGTGATTTGGTTTATTCCAGCGAGGGAATAAATCATTTCAGGCACTCGTGGAGTATTTTGGAGGAATACTTCACGGTAGTTTAGGAGAACGGATTGTTCAAGTAGACGACAGGTTGCCTTGCTGACCCTGAAGGGACAGCTGGGTACCAGTCACCGGTAACCGCAGACCAGAAGGACGGGTTACCAGTCGTCTTGTTATTGTTTTGTTTTTCAGGTAACTGCAGACCAGAAGGACGGGTTACCAGTCGACTTGTTATTGTTTTGTTTACTTCTGTTAACCGCAGACCAGAAGGACGGGTTACCAGTCGTTGTGTTATTGTTTTGTTTACTTCTGTTAACCGCAGACCAGAAGGACGGGTTACCAGTCGTTGTGTTATTGTTTTGTTTACTTCTGTTAACCGCAGACCAGAAGAACGGGTTACCCGAACCAGAAGTTTTTGTGTATTTAAATAAATAACTTGTGGTATTCTAAGTGTGTTGTTTGTTGTTGTTTATTCTTTAAATTAATAAACTTTGTTATAAATTATTGTTCAGTGATTTACAGTTACAAATGTCGGTTGTGAACCTAAACACTTGTAGCTTCCAAGAGTTACTCCAGCTCCCAAGTATAGGCATAAAAACTGGGGAGCAAATAATGGACATTAGGGAGAGCAGGGGCTTTGTGACCGAGTAAGACTTGGCCACAATCTCCCACCTACGAGTAACAAGGGGCCTCTTATCCAGGCTGGACTTCAGCCCAAATGGAGGTGGCCAAAATATTGGGCCACCACCTCAGCCCCAAGACAGGCATGGTGAGATGTTAGACAGGGAAAACACTCTCATAGACTGGGGACACATTGCCCCACAGGGAACACCATCCCAAGTACAAGGCAAATCTGCATTTAGGCAAGAAGCATGGCACCAGGGGCAAAGTCCCGGGCCCTCGGAAGGGCCCAGCCAGATGGACTCTGCCTTCCTTGAATATAGTCCATATCCCGGGGATGCTAAAGCTAGACCCGAACCCACAGGGAATTTGGACGGGGGCTTCACGGAACAGTTGCAGAAAAAAGAGTGGAGTCACCATATTGGTGACCCAAAAAAGGGTTATCCCCTCACCACAGAGGTATTATTAGGAACAAGCCGTATTGGCCAGGTAAAGACAGTGAGTGGGACAATAATAAACCGACCTTTGGGGAAATACCTTCATACCCCATGGGTCACATAAGCAACTATGCAGGTCAGGGGTCAGCACCCTGTAACCAACCAGCTCACACTGGTGGGGTACAGTATGAGACACCCTGCAGTAGGTATGGCAAGTGGCAAGACTATAGGGGCGAAGACACAAGGCAGGCCCCATCATATATCTATGGAGAGAGGCAAGACAATGGGGGTGAGGACACAAGGCAGACCCCATCCCGTGCCTATGGGGATAGGCAACCCCAGAACCAGTATAATCAAGGGTATACGCCGGTGCCCCCACAAGGGGTCACCGCAGGCGGGAGTTATGGGCAACAGGCCTACCAAGTACCATATATTGAGGATAAGCCTAGGGAAAACACAAGGGGACCCGACAGCAGAGGTGGGGCACAAGGAACTTCAGGTGGCATCTCTAAAGTTACCAATGCCCCAAAAAATATTAAGTATGACGAGAAGGGCAACTGGCAGGCCTTTTTCACAAAATTTGCAAGGTATGCGGAGGTTTGTGAATGGGGTCCACAAGAATGCAAGGACCAACTTTGCTGGTGTCTTGAGGGAAAAGCCAGTGAGTATTATGCCCTCATAACAGAAAGAGACCAGAAGGTCAGTTATAGGGAGCTTGTGGAGAAGCTACACAAGCGTTTTGGTTTCAAGGCGCTCCCCGAGACTGCCCGGGTCCAGTTTAACAATGCCCGGCAAGCCCCTGAGGAGTCTGTTGAGGACTGGGCTGATCGGGTGTTGTCCTTAGCGACCAGGGCATTTAGAAACCTTCCTGACGATTACATGTACGAGCAAGCCAAAACACGGCTGTGCCAGGGTATTGAAAACAAACAGTTGGGGGTGCAAGTCTCTAACCTTCAGCCCCAAAGTATTGAGGAGGCCATAGATAAAATACGGCTATTCCAACATAACACCCAGGCAATATATGGCAAGCCAAATCGGCGTGAGGTTAGGCAGGTAACTGATGGGCAGTATGAAGACCACCCTGAGGCCTTCCATGAGTATCAGGGGCCCCATGTAAGGGCTACCATGGCCCTTGAGAGGGCCCCAGTCAGTACATGGAAAGTGGCGTTAGAAAAGTCTGATAAGAAGTTTGAAAACAAACTTGGTCAAGTCCATGAAAAATTAGACGACATGATGGACCAATTCAAGCAACTCCTCACAAGCCCCATTGCAGGAAGCTGCTCACCTGGCAGACAGACAGGGACAGAAAGTTGCCACCACTGTGGGGAGAGGGGTCATTTCAAAATGGAATGCCCAAACTTTGAAGGTAAGTCCGTCTCAGGGAGTCCCTCCACTGATAGAGGGCCTCTATTGGAGGGAGTGTGCTACCACTGTTTAAAGCCTGGACATGTTAGGAGAGACTGTCTGGATTTACAGGGGAGGGATAAAACTGTTACCTTCATAAATCAGTTAAGCAGAACTTAAACAGGACCATTAAACTTAAACGGGACTACTCAGGAGGCTGGAGTGTGTCCCCGCAAATGAAGTTAGGCCTCTCAGTAGTTGAGTCTGTACCCCAAGGCAGAGTAGCGGAGGTAGCTATAGTGGGCCCAGGGGAAGGTGCCAGGGACAGAGAGGGGAACAGAGAACCCAGTGTGTCGGTGAAGGTTAGAGCAGAGATTGAGTCAGAGCAGTGCTCCAATTCTGACAGGGAGGCAGCTCCTTCAGGCAGATTGGACTGCTACTTATTAAAATGTCTTGCAAACACATGTGCTGCCACAACAGAGACAACTTTCGCAAATGATGAGGAGACCCAAGAAAGTTGGGACTCCACCTCAGATGGTGAGGCAGATACCACTTTGATAGAAAGAGCCAGTGATGAGAAGATAGTCACAGTTTGCCCGCAATACCAGGGTTCGACATGTCCTACTCCTTTAGTTGACGGCGGAATGACTGACAATACTGAAAAAGGTCGCACATCCATCACTTTTGTGGACCCTTCCTCAACTGGAGAAATTGACAGAAAATCTACAGGGTCCTCCACGCAATTAACAAAAAGGCCACAACTGAAAACAACAGTCCAATCAACAAAGGAACAGTCATTAGTATAGAATCTTTATGTGACAAGGACTTATTATCGGCATCCGTTAATCCAGAAAACCCAAGGTTGAGTTTGTGGTCACTTTTTAAAGCAGATAATGTGGGCACTAGTTATTTTAATCTGCAGCCGCCACAGGTAGACAGTGGGACACCAGTCTTTTGTGTGAGCAATGTCACAGTTAGATCAGGTCCCAACAGAAGACAGTGGGACCCTGGAATTCCCTACCTTAACAAAGGTATAAATACAGTGCAAGTGAGGAAAAATGAGATCAAACTCTTCACGATGGAGAATGGATTAGCACAACCTACTGGGTCCAACTTTACAGAGGACATGCAGCCACTAAGTGGCCCGGACTTAGTTTGTATAAAGACAGCGAAGAGGTGGGATACGATCCAGAGAAGAACAATTTACAGTTGTCTGGGTTCCCGATTTGATGGGAACCCATTGTACTAAATTTTAGTGTATCAGTAGACCCATGGATACAAAGGGTCTGGTTGGGGGATAGGTTGAATACTTTTTAAAAATTGTTAGGGGGATAGGGTGTATACTGTTTGTTATAAATTGATGCATATTTTCTCTAAATTTGGTATGATTTCCGTATTTTGTTAATTTTTGGCGAAATTCACAGGGCCCACCTCAGTAGAGGGGGCCTTATTAATAAAACTGGGGGGAGTGTAGTATTCGTAGGGTTAGTTTGTGGTCATCAGACAGACCATCTAGAGATGTCCGAAGAACTACCCAGAAATCCCTCTCTTCCGGTTGAAACAATGGCTATTACAGACGACTATTCACACTAGAAGAGCAATCGGCCGTTCCTGACTGCAGGAACGACCATCCAAGGTATATATATCGGTCTTTAGATATACTCAGGATCAAACAGTTATATGACGTGTGTTGAAAAAGAAAACAATGTCACCGTCAATTTGTGTAGGGGATCAAGAAGGGTTTTAGTTACTTTGAAATGGAAGTATCGTATGGAATTGTGAAAAACAACAATTTTTAATCACAATTTCATTTATATATCTAATAAAATCAGTATCTTAGAGTACTTTGGAAACAGGTACAATGAAAAGAAGTTGAACATTCACTGTTTAAAACAAGAAACGCAGCCAAAACCAGCTACAAATTGACATGACTGGTGGTCACTAAAATTGATGTATTACAGTAAAAAATGATGGCTTCATAATTGTGTAGAAATTCGAAATAGGTTACCCGGTTTTATTTAAGATTTTTATCGTTCTTTTCCGTGTTTGGATACGCAAACGTCAAGTTATTTACATTCGATGTTTTAGGCGAACAAAAAAGATGGCTGATAGTTTTTAGAACGGACAGGATAAAGAAATAGCAAATAAAAGTTATTTGGGACAATGTTTCTATGTCGTATTGAAACTATATTGCTCACAAAACCTACAAACTTTAAAAATCAATTATGATAAAAGCATGACAAGTTGAAAAAATAGTTTAAACGTCGATTTTTTAGCTGATTGATTTGGCGGACTTTTTGACGTCACCGACGACTGTAGCGCCACCTAATTAATTCCCCCTGCTATTGTTGCTGATAGAGCTTGACGACAACGGACGTTTCTAAAGACTTGCTTTCCAACTGTGCTGCCAGTTGTTTTACAAGGTTGCATTTTGTGTGCCAGAAAATACGACAGCTCGACGTCTGTGACGTCAGATGTCCAACAATGACGTAATTCGATATATGACGTCACGCCAACATGACCGTTACATTTGGGACCTATTGAAAAAAAATAAAACACTGTTTAATCGTTGGTCTTTTATTTGAAAAAGATACAGCAATGAGGAGAAGTTTGCATAAATTAAAACCTAGACATATGTGTCCCTCCGGCACAATCGATGTGGACACATGTGTCCCTCCGGCAGCAAGAGGGTTAAATCGTTCATTTGTATAGACGTCTTTTCCAATTTGAGGCATATTTACCGGCAGTGGTGAAAAACAAGCAAATTCGTCTGAAATGAGGAAAAAAGGTTAGAATATGCGAAAAATACACTGGCTACCAACCAATTAAAATCCGGCATTCTTATATAAGGTGTAATTATGTCTTGTAGTCACATGCGAAATTTATATATGATCGATGGAAAAATTTATAGATTTATAAAAATTTTACTTCTCCCAAAAGCTATTATAATATCGATTTAATTTTTTTTTATTGTCGCCCTTCTGTGGTTATGGTAGAAATAAAGTACAGTGAAAGCATCGAAATAACTTAATTACATACATTCAAATACATCTTCCGTGAGTTCCAGTGTAGATCTGTACTTTTGGAATCCGTACACACATTCATATGGTATATTTACGTCCTTTTCACTTAGGGAAAATACTGTCAAAACCGAAACTCTTTCTTTCACGTTTAAGTCTTCTTCATATTTGGTTTCATTGTATGAGAAACCATTTATGATTACAAGATTGTACTGGTAACCAACATTCCATTTTCTATCATCGTCACAGCATAATGTCTTATTCGGCAGATGGCAAACTAAATGAATATTGGCCCCAAATAATGCTGGCTTTTCCTTTAAAGTCCATTTGATATTTCCTACTAAAGGAAAGATCTAAACTAGATAAACCAATGACAAAAAAAAAAAAAAACACATGACATCTTAATCTTCGTTACAGAAAAATGTCCCCAAAAAATGTCATAAACAATAACCTATTTTTTTTTAGTATTTAAGCTATTTAAAGGGTGTCTGAATTATGGCACAATAACTTGGATACAACCTTTTCATTTGTGATATAATTAATCTGTATTGTTCCATATCGATAGATTTCTAGTAAGGTTTTCTATATAAATTGGATTTTGAATAAAAGTATATTGACCGCGCAAAACGCCGCTTGTTTTTCACATGTATAATTATGTCAAAAATAAGTAAAACCACATATTTACCTCGAAATGGCTGAAGACAAATGATAGGGAAATGTGTCAACGAGACGTAAATGCTTTTTTTAAAGGGACAATTATTGTAAAAAGGTTAATACGCTAAACAAATTTAAGCTTTTGTACGAGATGAAAGTAATTAGATGTTTTGATTTTTTATATTCTCATCTGATTCATACAATTGCTAACCTTAATCTTAATATTTTTATTTTCATACCGTCTTTCAAATTGAAAAAAGACAATATAAAAGGCAGAAGATACTGTAAATGGGGTATTATGTCGATTTGATGAGCCAAGGCATTCATATCCAGTAATCAACGCCACTTTGCTTATTTGAATATTATACTAAAGAAATCGGATACGGGTCACGGAAATTATATTGAAATGATAGGGAATTTTGAAAACAAATGTCTGTTTTAACTTTAATTTAAGTGATAGACAGGTTGCGGGGACAGAAAATAAATATACACAACAATAAACACCATTTAAACGAAACATAATGACTGTCGTTGCAAAAATCAAGGTTCCTAACTATTTTAAAAATCGAAGCGAGAGGCTTTTAACATTGCAGTATAAAATACAGGCTAAAATGGCTGAAACGTCAAATTTGCAAACTTCGTGTTGAAAATTGGCTAACAAGGTCATTACAAAAACAGGTTGCGGGGATGAAACTTGAAACTTGAATGTCCAAAGAATAAGCAAGTCCAAACCTTGTATGTGTAGTCGTTGAACTCTAGGTTCCCACGTAAAGTTAAAATGCCCCTATTTCAAGAAGAATAAACTCACGAAAACACGAAAAATTCACTAAATTCGCGTTCATTGTTTTGATTTTGACCGCCTGACAACTTTACGGAAATATCAGAGTGATTATAAACAAGGACTCTGTGACGGGCAACTTATAATATCCGTGTTTTAAAGATTTTAATGATATCAAGCCAGTCCAGTTCAAACTATTATCACGTGGTACAATTCTCATTTACATATTATGAATATTAATTAGCAAAAGTACTACTAATTTCTGGCTATGTTTAAACTGATTTTTATGGTTGCCGTATGCTGAGCTGTTATGCCACTGTACCCACTTAAAGAGAGGGTTGGCGCCCACAAACATGTTTACGTAGCCCTACCCCATTGTTCTACAGAAATGATTTTAGTTTAAACAACAAATTACTAGTAAGAATGATGTAAGCGTTCGTGTGTTGATTTGCAGTTTACTGTTCCTGATATCAATAAACTTACCTGCTACCGAAGAAGGTGAAATGCTAATCATGAAAATATATAACATGGTCACGTGAATAAAATGCATTCTATGAAAAAGCAACAGCTGAAAAAGACAATCCTTAATAAACATTTGTCTTTAAATTGGCACATGCATGCAACGTTAATATTGAATATTCTGGTACAACATTTATATTTTGAATTTAAGCACATATTGATTGACCATTTTAATGCAAATTCGTAGTCCCTACCAATCGCATGCCTTTTTCTCTGGTGACAGCCAAATATCTAGCCTTTCATCCTGGTCGATCAAGTTTGCAAATCCTACCCAATTGATTAGATTTTATATGTTTTGTGTTAAACATTGTTAAAAATGCACTCGATGTTTATCAATCAATCAATCAATCATCAATCATTTACACGCATATGTTTGCATTGAGCTAGCATCTGTCGATCAACGTAATATTTCATTGTTAAAAACGTATAGCGGTGATGAAGATATCTAAATATCATAGAAACGTTTTTAAAATTAAATTCACAAAAATGTATTGTTGTAATAGGATTCGACCTTTTGGAATTTTAATAGAAAAGGGTATTAAAAAGCAAGATAACTTAAAATGTATAAAGAATAGATGAGTCGCCCAAAAAATTCTGCAAAGCAGACCTAATCAACTTTAAGCCACAAAACACCTTTGAAAAAAGCAGAAATGCTTAATAAGATAAACGAGAGAGAAAAAATTTTGTACAACCCTATTTTGTATGAGCACAAGATGTGGTAGGATTGAACCCGTGTTACGTGCTCACCAAATTATACACAATGCAGCTACCAATATACAGACCACTAATTTTACAAAAAAAATTAAAAAAAACGTCACATACATGCAACTTCAACAGCAAGTCGACAAAATGTCGTTTTCCCCCACTTTCTTATGTAATTCGATAATTAATACATTTTAAAATTATATGCCGTTTTTCAATCATTACGTTTGTTTTAATTTTTTTCGGGACTTACACCAGTTTGCCTATTTATTTATTAAAGCAAAACTTAAAATTCTGTTTGTTATATGTGGTGATATTCTATTTATTATGTGCAGTATGTACATTGCAAAAGACCGTGTCTCCCTGCACTGATCATAGCTATGAGCTATGCCATTTCAATACAGATGCCAAATTTGGAGTGTAGAAGTTCGTGCTCGTAATTAACACGACACGCTCTTGCGTGTTCACAAAATAAGGACTTTAGCAACAGGAATGTGCTTCTCAAACAAAAAAAATACTGCAACAGAGGTATGAGGAATAGCGACTGAAATCGACACTACATAAGTTTGACGGTTACAAACAAACCTGTTTAGGAATCTGCATTGCAAATTTATTTAATAATTAATTTCTACAAATAAAAAAAAACAATCTTTAAAAACAATACAAATTCATTGACATTCAATCTATAAATTTGGTATTTCAACCATCAACTATAAGTACCCGCTGTCATGCCAGCTGTCTGTTGAAATTATTCGTAGAAACTCAACAAATCGGTTGTCAATCAAAATGTCCAGCATTTTGATGATACCATCTTCGGTTTACTTATTGTTGGAAATACATTGTTTATTTTTACAAATTAGAAGTTTTCTACGATTTTTTACTTTTACCTGGAGACGATGTAGTCAATTTTTCAATTGAGCATGGAGAACAGTGTGAGGCCTAGAAAAATCTAAAGTTTTGATATTACTGTTCAATTCTCAAGATTGTGATTGATGATTTGGAGATTCTGAAGATCTTTTGATTTTTTAAGTATCCACATCAGACTGGAACCGCTGGATGTATATCCCTCATCAAATGTTTCCAAAGCTATACTTTTACTCAATGTAGAATGAATGGGTTAAACACTTTGGAAACATTTTTAGTGGAACGTCATGACGTCCAGGTTATACACTGTTCTTAATACAGATTTTGTAAAGATCAGGTAAGTGTAACATGAATAAAGACGGATATTTTTATTGTACGTTTTAATGAATACCAAAATAAGAAGGACGGATTTGTGATTTTCTAGAATCCTCTTTTTAATGAACTATTTAAGGGTAACTGTTAATTCCAAATTCTTTAGTAAAACATCGGAAACATTTCTATTTTTTTCAAATAAAATAGGATTGTTTTAGGCTTAGTCTGCCGGAACAACAACATATTTGTCGCGAAGAGAGAAGAAAAGCATCTACAACTTTTGGCTTCCTGAAAGGATTAAGAATGCAAGTGCTCGTAGTTCATCGTAGTTTTGAATTAATTTAGAAAAGTGTCAAGTTCTGTTTCTTCTAGCTCGCGCTTTTCTCATTTTTTGGGCATAGTCCTTAACTTCACCAATCAATAACCTGCCGTTCTTCCTTCATTTGATAGGCTAGGAATATTTCGAGCCGTTGAGTCTCTAAAATGTCCATAGTTTAAGATGCAAAAATCTCCAGTTATAAAATGACACGCAGAATATATGAATTGTTATGGGAACGATGCACAAGAGTAAAGAGCAATCGGGAAGTTAGATTTTACATCCATGGCGGTAGGTCTTTAAATCCTTCTTGTGGTTGAAAACGATTCACACGGTTTGAACTTGATTTTGGATAACGGTCACTATCTTGCGTCGGACAAGGTCTTAAATAATTCAAAGTTGTTGATATCACCACACCTTGGACCAGACAAAACACCTACACAATCAATTTTGTCTTTGCAATGTAAAAAACTCATATATGGTCATTTGTTGAATTATAGATTTTCTCTATTATTCTGGCTTTCATAGAAACAATGGAAGGTGAGGTTGGTTAAATAAACTCACAATTGATACCAGGATAAAAAAAAATGTGTACGCCAGACGCGCGTTTCGTCCACAAAATAAAAAAAAAAGGTAAAAAGTCCGAATAAAGTACGGACCTGCAGAGCATTGAATATCCCAAATACAGCTAATGTAATCTATTCCTGTGCTAGAATGTTTATGAGTAAGGTATTGTGACCAGGATCATTTAGGTAAGACCGGTTATTGTTCATTTTTTGTTGAGTATTTGTATTGTTTCGCTGACATATAGTAGTCCACAAAGAACACATTCAATACCGTTCACAATAGTAGAAACAGTTTTTATGATAAGATTAAGATATAACGATGTTACAAGCTGTCATTGAAATCTGATATATTTGAAAGTTGTACAGTACAGGACCGTATATAAACAAATTGACCAAAGATTGATATACAACAAGGAATCGGAAGACTGAACATGCTGAACAAAGGTTGTTAAGATGAAATCTTTTACAAGGGTGATACATACGACTATTTCTTCGGAGTTGTTGTCTTTGACATCATCCGAATGACACATCTTGGGCGATATGTCATCCAGTATATATGTTCTTTGTCTACTATTTTATATGGAATTATTTGCATGATGCATGTTAGCCCGTATTTGTTTGAATTTTAAAGTTATTTTTAGTTTATGATGGTCTTAAATGACCCTCATATCTAGATACTATATTTGGATCAATTTCATCTTTGATGTGTGGTCGGAAAGGCTACCTCGACCTACTTACCTTCAAACATTCCATTTACCAAGGTTGTAACTCCCTCTGGAAAAATTCATTGATGCAGATTTTCCTATTCTTTTCAGATACTTTTTGAATTGGAGTTCATTACATATCCAAGTATTTATACGTGCTGAGCTTGGGTTCGAGTATTGCCAGCTAAGGTAATTAAGCTTCATGCTCACAAAATTTACAAGTGTTATAATCCTTTAAAAACAAAGAAAAAAATATAGTTTGCCAAAATATATTACATAAACAAACCATAGTTACTACAATACAATCAAGTTTCGACAAGTCTACGAACTGTTGCATGTCCAATCTAAATGTGGAGGTATCATAAGATCCATTATTTGGCCTCTGAAATAAAACAAATACTAAAATTATTTATTAATGAAACGCGATTCAAAGGTATATTAATCTTATTTATCTATGAAAAGGTTGATATAATCTGGACACTTAAGTACAAAAAAAGCATACGTTGGACTCGGGGAGACTTAAATTGTTACTTTTGGCAAAGTCACTGAATCGTTTCCGATTCAGTATATTTTGTCGTTCGTGGTCAGACATGGTCCAAGACTTACGTAATTACGAAATTCCCCCTAAAGCAAACAATCCAACATTTTAAGTAAAATATAATATACTATAATACTATAAGAAACAATAGATACTGCAATACGAGGTACTGTTTTAAATTATTTTTCTAAATAAATGTGAAATCAAACCCTATCATATCAAAACTTGATAATTGTGTAACGTTTTTCAAAATATATGTGAAACATCAAGTTAACAAAACTGGATACATACCCATATGCATATGTGAATCAAGGTTCTTCAAACAAAACAAGGTATGAGAGAGAACCTGCAACGATAAATAATCCCCCGATGGATTAACAAACTTTAAACCGTTATATTTGTATTCTTGATTGAACAAGATTTATCAAATGCCTGAATTGTTGAGATTTCATCATACGTATCTTTTGTTGATGACTCTTTGTGAAGTTAAAACAAATAAAATCAGGCTTTGTTATCAAAGATTATAGATTTTTAAATACCAACGGTAGCACAAGGAAATAATTAATCAATAAAGAAGGTGTGGATGGGATATACAGAATAGAGAATAATGGGCAAAATGTGAAAACTAAGGACAAACATCATGAAATATAGAAAATATAGGGAAAAAAATAGAGCATAATAATGGGGTGCTCACATATGTAAGAATAAAAAATAACAGGCAAAATTCATAAAGAATAGAGAAACATGGTCTAAAAAATTAAGGAATACAGAAAAGAAGAACTACCCATCCATACCCTCATTAAAGGTCCCAACAAAAGCAGTTTTATCAAAGAGATTGCATTTTTGAAAATAAAGGAATATCATCATGATCATAACACCTTAAAGATAAATTTACATTTGAATAAAGACAATATGCATTTATAAATAAATTTATTAAATGTTTGTGTCATCCTTATTCAGAGCTTAAATAGAGTCTCAGTGTGGTGTGAAATTTAAATCGTATTTTATGTGACAAAAATCCAACACATTTTGAGGTTTGACACCTAAACTATGGAGCAAGCTACTTATTGCTGCAAACATCATTTAAAAATATAGTTTACGTAAATATTTAAAAGGATACAAGAATGGAAAAAATGTGTAATTCAAAATCGTACTTTGCATAGTAACATGACAAGGATTTAAAGTAAAATTATAAATGAACGAAAGAACGAAAACAGTTATCCGAGACAGTTTGGTTCGTAAAAGACATTAGGACAAGTTACGGATATGCACTGTAACAGTTTGTCAACATCTACATTCAGAAACCATGAATAAGTGCACTATTGTGAAACTTCAAATGTAGCGTCACTGGTTATGAATGGGTCGGACAAATGGTATATTTTTGCATAAGAAATCAATGAATGGATCTAGTTGAGTTTATTCACTTTTATTTGTTCTATGTTTTATGATCCATTGTCTGTTTTATATTTGAGTACAA